TTTTACAATAATGGAAAAAATGCAAAATTTTCACAGAGGGACAGGTGGTCTTGGGGTATCTGATATTTAAGTGTTTGTCTTCATGCTTGCCTCTTTTTTCCTCCCTTCCTCCTTCTCTTTACTCCTTTTCTCTCTCCCTTCAACCTTGCTTTTCTTCCCTTCTTTTTCTCCTCTCCTTCCCTTTCCTGTCCTGTCCTTTCCTTTTGTTCAACATTGAAATGCCAGGCACAGTGCAAGGTGCTGATATTACCGTGGAAAATCAGTTATCAGCCCCCGGGACTTACAGGTTTGTAAAGAGTTACCACCAGATAAGCATCTGAAGTACTATGACAGATATTTATGAAATATTCTATACGCACAAAGAAGGCGGTGGCTAATTCTGCCTTGGGGAGGCGTCTTCATGGAAGAGAAGACATTTGAATTGGATCCCAAAGATAATTGTGTGTTCAGCAGGAGGACCTTTGAGAGAAATAGGCATTCCAGGCAAAAGGAGCAGCATGAGCAAAGACTGGAAGTGAAGCAGACTGCTGTGTTTGCAGAGCTAGGTGAAGTTCCACAGTGTAGTGAGTACTACCAAGGAGAAGCCCAGCTCCAAAGGGCTAAGAGGTATGAGTCTGAGATGGAATCCCAACTCCACCACTCAACCTTTCTATGCCCTGGTTTCCTCATCTCTAAAATGGGGCTAACAATAAATAATGGTACTAACCCCAGAGACTTGCGAGGCTTAAATGAAAGAATGCATATGAAGTATTTGGTTCCATAGCTGGAATCATATCTGTTGATTACTATTACAAGTGCAAGATGAGAGGCTGAGGTCATCTCTGGTTTTCCAAACTAAGTTTGATCCACCTCCTCCTTCCATGTACTCCTTTAGGAGCTTGTGCTTCTCTTTTGTAATACTCATCACACTTGTTGACTGTAACGTCCTTGAGAGCAGGGAAGCCCTTCATCTTGTTTGCTGTGGTATTCCCAGTAGTTTTCACAGTGTCTGGCACATACTAGGCACTCAATAAATACTCACCAGGTGATCATGAGGGGCTTTGTATGTCGTGATGAGCAGTCTATAGTTTACTCTGAAAGCTACTGAAAACCGTTATAAAAGGTTTTAAATTGGAGAGTGACACTATCAGTTTTACATGTTGTAAAAATTACTCTGATAGCAGTGTAGATAATGGATGGGAGAGAGAAAGAAGGTGGAGAGAAAAAATGGAAGGTTATTTCAACAGTCTAGTTGAAAGATAAGGAGATGTCTGTTAAAGAAGTGGAAATGGAATGGAAGTGCCTAAGAGAGATGTTAAGAAGGTAGAATGGACAGAACTTACGTGAGTGACTGGATATGAGGGGTGATGGAGAAGGAGGAGTTGAGGGTGACGCTCAACTTTCTGATTTGGGTGATTAAGAGGATAGTGGTACCATTCACGGACATAGAAAATATAGGAGGAGGAACAGAATTCGGGAGGAGGAGATAATGATCTCAGCTTTTGATGTTATTGAGTTTGAGGTAGTTGTGGTGACTTCAGGTGGAGATACCAAGTAGGCAGTTGGACATATTGCCCTGGAACTCAGTAGATAGGTATGGGTAACAGACACAATTTAAGAGACATCAACATGGTTATTATTTTAAACTTCTGGTAAAAACTATAGGCCCTCTCCAAAGAAAAAATACAAATATACACATCATTTTCACTGTAATCTCAGAAGCTCTGTGTGAAGCTCATCCAAGGATTCTAATTAAGAAAGGTAAAATATGGATAAGATCTGTCTGACTTTAAGAGTGTTAAGTAAGAAAAAAAAAAGAGGAGGTGAGGGAAAGGAAGGAGAAGAGAGGAGAAGGGAGGGAAGGAGAAGAGAAAAGGGCCAGTGACAGAAACTTGGCACACAGCAACTTCTACAGAGTTGGTAAAGGAAGAGGAGCTGACAAAGAAGATTGGGTGCAAAGGGCTAAAGAAGTGAAAGGAGAAGAGGGAAGCTCAGGGAGAACAGATCTTCAAGAAGGGAGAAGTCAACAGTACTAAACGTTACAGAAAAGTGGTCAAGAGAGTTCTTTAAATGGGACCACCAGGGAACTATTAATGACCTCTACCTGGGCTATTTTAGAGGTGGGATTGGGGGACAGAAGCTTGACAGCATTTGGGTAAAGACTGAGTAGAAACAACAAAGTGTTCTAGTGAATTACTGCTATCTTTAAGAATCTTGGTTATGAAGGAATAGTGGACATTTGTCCGGACTGTCCAGGATCCACTCTCCTTCCCCTTCTTATTAGTATTTCACTCTCTTTTGGGGATGTCCCCACTTAGTCTTCATAGAAAATAGTGATTGCTTTCTACCACCTAAACCAAAGGGACCAGATCCTCCTTTTTCCCACCTTGGGATAGCCAGAGAGCAAGCACATGATCTAAGTTTGGCCAGTTAGAACCTTGGAGCCCTGGAATCTTGAACAAGTGACACAAGGAGAGGGAGATGGTTGGTTCCCAGTCATCACAGCAGTGGGATATGCTGACTAGCCTCCATTTTCCTTTCAATAAATTCCTTGTGTTTTCTTAATATATATAGATTCTGATCTCTATATATTAGTTTATATTAGCTACATATATGGAGCCCTGGTAGCACACTGGTTAAGAGCTAGGCTGCTAACCAAAGAGTCCGCTGTTTGAATTCACCAGCCCCTCCTTGGAAACCCTATGGGGCAGTTCTACCTTGTCCTATAGGGTCGCTATGAGTTCAGATCGACTCTACGGCAACTGTTTTGTATGTGTGTGTGTGTGTGTGAATTAGTTTATACTAGCAACTATATAATAGTTGCTTACAATGGACAGCCCTGAGTGATGTAACTGACTCTGAAGTGATATAGAACACCTCTTCCTCAGAGCTGAAGGCAGGAGGTGAGGGGGTTGCATATGCAGATCAATTTCCAGATATTGAGTAGGAAAGTTGAATGTATTATCTTTGATGGCCCTGAATTTCTTGAAGAAGGAGGAGTCAGTGTCAATGTCTGAGAAAGAGAGAGTGAAGGTGATGGACACCAGACAAGGTGTAGCTTCAGGACACCAGACAAGGTTTGGAATGGCCATTATGGTGAACGGGGAAAAAGAGCTACCATTTACATGTAAAAGGATTACCAAGGATTCCAAACAATTGTAAAAGGATTGCCAAGCAATGCCAAGGGCCCACTGAGATTGGTGGTTATGGATTTGTAGTTGGGCCAGTCCTCAGTGTTAGTAACTTTTCTCCGGCAGTACTGAGTGCCAACTGCTCTATGACTAGCCTGCTAAGAGTGGTCCTGCACAGGAGTGGAGTGAGGTCCTGCAACCTGCAGTACCTTCAAAGCATCTCAATTAAACTGAGGAAATACTGAGAATGAAGGTATGTGGGACTTTAGAAACAGACAAGCCTACAGAGACACATAAAGCAATCAAGGTGTTGCCAGAGAGAGAGACCTGTTGCTGTCGAGTCGATTCCGACTCATAGTGACCCTATAGGACACAATAGAACTGCCCCATAGGGTTTTCAAGGAGCAGCTGGTGGATTTGAACTGCCGACCTTTTGGTTAGCTGCCTAGCTCTGAACCACTGCACCACCAGGGCTCTGACAGAGAGAGAACAACTCTGAAAAAGAGGAAGAGATGGATAGACGCAAGGACGAAAAGTACGAAGAACTAAAATAGATTTTGTGGTATGACTCATGCCACAGCCTGTTTACTTTAACTGTGGTAATTAATATAGCTTATTGACATATAAGAACTTTACAGAAATTTGATGCTATCCCTTACAGGGATTTAGAAACACCCTACCTTATGTTATCCCACAGCAGAACACACTTAGACTCTCCCCAAACCCCCAAAATTCGAAGTATTAAAAGAACAGTGTTGTAATGTCTCATGAGAGTTGTACTCGTTGAGGAGGAAGGAAGTCCAGGTTTTGGTTTCAGTTTTAACAGTGGCTAGTTGTCAAGCCACTTCTCTTTCCTTAACCTCAGTTTCCTCATCTATAAAGTGAGGTAATCGGGCAAGATTATATCTAGCTCTTTCTATCTTAAATATTCTATAGTTCTGAATGCTGGCTTCCAGTGGCAACTTCTAGATATTACAGGATATGATCGCCTTTTTCTTTGAAAAATCCCAATGAAGGCCAATGGGCAGCTTTTGGAAGGCAAAGGAGTTTTCTAGCTGGGGTAGCCAGTTAACTAATACCTCTAAGATTTCAAAGTTAATTATGAAAATTGAATTCACACTTTCAATCACGTGCAAAATATTCAGAACCTGCTACGAAAATAAAATGTAAGATCAAAAAGAAATCTTAGTTTTTGAAAAGGAAGTGGGAATACTGTTGTTGTCATTGTTACTGTTGTCAGTGCCATCTTTCTGGAGAAGAAGGGAAGGTTGGGGGACGTCACTGGGAGTATAAACGGGGCCTAGAACCGCCCTTAGAGATTCAGTCCTTATCTCTCTTCTCAATTTTTTGTTGTTGTTTTAAACACTGTTTTTTTTTTTTTTTTAACAATTCAGACTTAAAAGTGAAAGTGATAGTTAAGGATCACCCTCAGGGGTAACCACTGAGAAGTTTGTTGTCTATCCTTCCAGAACTTTCTTTATACATTCCAATTCATATAAACACACATATACCTACACATATTAATCTTTTATTTATTTTTGGTTATTGTTTACATATTACATTACACAATACATACAGTACTGCAACTTGCTTTTTTACAATACTTCCACACATACATAGACACACAAAAACATGCACCAGTCAATATTCTTCACATTTTTTAACTGAAGTGAAAAAAACTTAAAAAAATAATTTTTGAGGAATGTGTAGAAAGGAAAGAGAAGTGTTACTCCTTTGACTTGCTTGTGTTCTATTAAATGAAATAAAAATGGAGTCATGTGGTTGACAAAATGGCGTCAGTAGTCTAGTGGACAACACCCCTAAGACTTGTCTTTACTGAAACTTAAGCCTATCTTTTCTGTAAATCAGGCAACCCTCATTGACCAATGAGATTCTGATAGTTTTTCCACTCTCCTTGACCAATGAAATACTGACAGCATTCCAACAGTAAATTTTATAAGCCAATCAGAAATAAGCTTCTTCTGCTTCTCCATTTTGTCAAAATAAGCCCATTCCTGCTGATACTCAGTGGAGTACCTTTCCACATCTGGTTTGGTGCTACCTGATTCTGGAAACTTCTGTCCCAATAAACCTCATCTAATAGGTTAACTTTATTATTGACTCAGTTTCTTTTGACAGTTCTTAAGAGTCTCAGGTTATTTTTCAGCAGAAGAGGGACTTTTCCCTATACAGAGGTTGTCTGTTTCACAGCCATTTCTTCCTTTCTTCCTTGCTAACAGATTATGATTTTGTTCAGGTATTTGGTGCCATGAGCTTTAGGGAAGGCTAGGCCTTTTCCTAGCTCCCAGAAGGTGACACTTGGTTAATCTAATCAGTGGTTCTTAAACTTTAGTGGCATTAAAGTTGCTTGAAGAACTGATAAAATACAGATTATTGTCCCCTACCCTCAGAGTTGCAGATTCAGTAGGTGTGATGTGGTGATTGAGAATTTGCATTTCTAACAAGTTTTCAGATGATACTGATGCTGCTGGTCCAAGGACCACCCTTTGAGAACCACCGGTCTAAGCCAATCATGTTATTCCTTCCCCCTTGACATTGATCCAGGGGCCCTGGTGGTGCAGTGGTTAAGCGATGGGCTGCTAACCGAAAGGTTGATGGTTTGAACCCACCAGCTGCTCTAAGGGAGAATGATGTGGCAGTCTGCTTCATAAGGATTACAACCTTGGAAACCCTATTGGGCAGTTCTACTCTGTCCTATAGGATCGCTGTGAGTTGGAATCAACTCCATGGCAATGAGTTGGGTTTGGTGCCAGTGACTGGCTTAGGACTGAACACGTGATACAGTTCTGGACAGTGAACCCTCAGAGGAAATTTGCTGA